GTCGGTGACAGCCTTGGACCTCAAAAAAGCCACTTACCTCATCACCGACCCAATCCACCTCCGATCAACCTTGAATTGACCTTGATCCAACATCGAGCGAGCCCGAGATTCTAGATTTCGGGCTCGAGTGACCCTAGATCCAATATTAGATTTCGATCGAGCATGGCAAGTTCGAGACTAAGGCTTGTGCTCAATTTCAAGCCCTAATAGACGGCGTCAAGCAAGCCCTAGTTAAGCGCGACCGAGTTGGAGACTCGAGGCTCGTTGCCCTTGTCAACGGCTGTGGCGACATGAAGCAGAACAAAGGGGAAGAATGATGATAGATGCAGAGCTGGAGAGACTGATTCATGGCCGGGTCAAGACGTAGAGCCAGGGGAAGAGAGGGCGATGGCGTGTTGGGCCGACGGAAGGGGCGGTGTGGCTGTCCTCGGTGGGGCTTTCGCTTTTATGATCAAAAGCAAATCTCTTTATTTTACTCTACCAAACAGTATTTGTTTTGAGCAAATACACCTCCAAAGTTCTCCCAAACACACGCTGAGTCCCTAGTTGTGCTATTACTTCTCGGCCTTCCTGGTTAGGAACATGTAGGTTTTCTTCTTAAATTACAGTGCTAATAGGATTTCCGAAATGTGATTGATTTGGTCCAGGAGAAATTGATTAAGGACGCAAGTATTTCTCCATAAGTACCCCAATTACCAATTAATTCTTTATCGGAGAGCAAGCAAGGAACTTTTTTTTTGGTCGCTAGCAAGCAAGGTACTTGATTGGGATCATTGTCTGTCGTTTGTGCAAAAGCAATAGCTCTCCATGATTCAAATGCCTAGTGGAAAAGTACACCCACTAATCACGAGTTGAAGAGCAAGATCACAAGAAACTTAATCTGCATTCTAGTGGAGCACCCATATAACAATCATTAATCTTGATGTTGTACGGAGATTAACCATATAAAGACCAATATGCACCATCAATATAATAGTGGAACCTTATTTCTTAATTCTTGTTCTTTCTTAAACTCAAGCCCTTTCTGTTAAAAACAACTTAACAACCAATCATCGAAATGATGAAAAGACTTGCCGAGGCGCAGTGCCAAATTGGCATTTATTCTAGTAAAAGAGGACAGACGGTGCAATTTCTCTCTAAAAAAGAGAAATAGCGACATGCAAAGTACAAATTTGCATCCTAAGTATGCCATGTAAACCGTAAAGCTCGCCAATTCAATCTCCCTTCTTGAGTGGAACGTCCCAACCGGGGTTCAGTGATGCTGCGGATCAGGTCCTCCGGGGGCAGCCCGCTTCGAGTCGATGTTCCACTCCATCTCCTCCTTCCTCTGCACGTACCCTATCAGGACTTGTTTCGCGATCTCCACCCTTGTCCTGCCTCCACTGTTTGACAATGCCTTGGGCGTTCTTGCTTCGTTACACGAAAACGCAAGTAGAAGCATGGCAAGGCAGAGCCAGGACCTCAGTGAAGCCATCTAATCTAAGCCGAATTCAGTTTCTTCTCAGATTAACTTGGTGAAGTGATGCACCAAGAACCGGCGTGGGGATGTATTTATATTGGTCATTATCCTGATACTATATTCGGAGTGGAATGTGTGGATCTGCATGAAACCGATAGAGGGGCGGCACTTTTTTCGGTCAGTGACTCGGTGCATGCTTGTTTCCTTGTGATAAAAAAGAAAAGAGGGAGATTCAACGGGAAAACAACAATCAGTAGCTCTAGTTTCTTCTGAAAACCCTTATTTTCCTTGGCCTTATGCAATCTGACTTCAAGACATGATATTGAATTCAAATACCGACGTCGGTGGGAAACGGTGGATTCTCCCCGATAGCATATAATAATGCCAGGTGGCGACTTTCTGCTGCCAATCTTAGCAAAGGAACTCTCCTCTCCACCAACCCAAGTCTAATCTCAAACTCGAAAACATGTTTTTCTTACTTTCTTGAACCTGACGGAACGTATATACCCTTGCCTCTTTGGTTGGTGAGCGAGCGAATGAGGAAACTTTTTGGGTTTGACATTCACCCTCACCCATTCTTGCCTGTAATGTTTTGCCAAGTTGAAGTGGTGTGTGCTTAGTCATTGCTAATGACTCAGTAGTCATGGCCGCATTTGTCCTCACTCACCCATCATCGACGTGGTGAAGTTCAACACCCAATTATCGCCTCAAAGCATGAACAGATTTCCATCTTAAATCTTTGCTCTGAGATTCTGTCGAGATTCAGAAGAAACCCTTTTGGTTTCGCTTTCCAAAGAATTGAATGATGACATCGCCGAGTTTCTTTGATTTCTTGCTCTCAGTCTTTAGACTTTCTTACCTTAAGCCGCCATCTCTTTTTCCTCGGGAAAATTGTCCAAAGAAGGTCGCCGAACGATTTTGGCTCTGTGTAATAGGTTTAGAATTGTATGGACAATTTTCCCCATCTTCCTCCTCTCTTCTCACTTGTTACTTTTGATAGCTCTAAATTTTGAGTCTTTATTTCCAATCGAATGAAGGAGTTTTTATTTTTCTGCGACGCCCAGGAAGAATTCCTATAAATGCTATTATTCACTAATGGAGCATTGAGAAAATGGATTGATACATAGCAATCACTCGCCACAATTCACTATTTTTTAGGGTACGAAGAAAATCACTCGCCATGTTTACAACTTATCTCATTGAAAAATAACGTGATACATCTAGAAGTGACTAGTATACGTTATTATCATTAGATTAGTAAATTCCTTTTTTTTTTGAGTCAAATAGATTAGTAAATTTCACAAGCGTGTTCCATGACGCAATACATGACATCATCACACATGTTTTTGCCCACGCCGACCCAACGTTTTCACTATTGTAATCTATGCACATGAATGAATGAATTATACGGACCCAAAATGCTTTGTGAAAAGTAGTGTGTCAGGGGCAGTGTAGCTTAGACAAAAACATATTAGAGGAAACGAAAATGACAAGAGTTTTGAAAGTGTTGAGAGTTTAGAGACGAAAGAACTACTCAATACGTTAGTAATTTCAGATATCCAAGTCGCGCAAATTGCATCTGAAAACGCTTGAAACGGCACGCCTAACTCAAAACTTAAATCCAATTGATCACATTTGATCTCTATGTAAAGTAGAGGAACGTGAAAGCTAGAAAAGGGGAGAGGCTAAACTTTTGGCCCAAATAAAATTTCAAAGCATAGGTGAATCAAAAACCTTAAAAGTTTATCATGAAATGTGCAAGCGAGTTTTAGAATATTCAAAAAATCCAATCTAGTCTTAGAATTTGTCGAGTTTGTGTAATCAAATCACTTCATTAAATATGTCGAATTCAGCTAATGAAACTTGCTGACATGGGTTTTTTTTTTATTACTTCCCCTTTCCTCTCATACGTGGCTGTTAATGTTAACTAAGGTGTGTGGTCATGGCCAAAACAGCATTGTTTTCCCGAATTTTTATTCCTGAGCCTCAATTAAATTAGATTAAGGAGGAAGATTATAAGAGAGGACAGAATCGTGAAGGACTTGAAGGTGGCGAAGTATGCCGCTCCAAAGTCATCATCAACGAGGGCCGGCGACCGTCACCTGTGCACAGGGAGGGATCACAGGCCCACGCCTCCTCGCGCGATGCTGGCTAGGTCCGGTCACGATTGGTTCATTTGAGTACCTAGGTTCTTACTCTTCCCTACAAACTGAGAAGCGGGAAGTTGAACTTAAAACGTAGTGGTCTAAGCAAACCTTCAGGAGGTGGATGCTTTGTCTGAAGATGGTGAGCGGACTCAAACGCGGGGGCAAACCAGAAATACACCGTCACGCACGTGTTGGTGACTCCTTCGCCGGTCTGTCACGGGTTCGCTTGGATGGACGGCGGCAAACGATAGTTTCCACTGCTCACCCTTGTTCTTTCTTCGTTAGTTCACGATTTTCCCTATTTTCAATTTTCAGACTCAATTCCTGCACTTTGGGTTAGTCTTCAAATTAGGAACTTTGATGCTCGTGGTTGCTGCCCATCTGGCTCCCGATCTACTCTACCCTTTAGTCTTTATTTTAAGTTCAAGCTTGATATGATACGCTCAGAATTTGCTGCACTTGTGGGTTGGGGGCCGTCCCCAGGCTAGCGTCGCCACCCTCACATCCCGGGCAGGGATCGTTGCCACCCTCAGATCATTCTCTTCTTTATAGCTCAAGCCTCTCTCTCAATCAACTCGTTTTTTTTTTCTTCTTAATTTTGCCTTTTTCTTGAAATGTTTAGCCATTTAACCGTTTTCTTCTAAGATTTCAGCCTCTTTTTATTTTTTAATATTTCCAGCTTCTTTGTGATGTGACGCCACATCGACACCGTCCCTCTTCACAAATTTAATCAAAACATCATGCCAGGATTCTCCATTCGCCAAATAAGATAGTAACCAAAAAAAATTAATTGCATCCATTTTAATAAATTTAAAGACTTAATTATACTTTTTTAAAGTTTTATAACTCGATCGTAATTTCACAACAAATGTGAGATACATAATTTGACAACCAAGCGTTTTGATTTTGCATCAACCATCAAGTTTGACCGCTAAAGCAGCCTATAGGAGGGTTGACAGCTCACCAAAAAGACAATCCATAGTGATCAAATAATAATCATGGTGTGGCTGGGTCACACTCACACTGGTCCAGTTGACCAATGCCCTGATCATTATTAAATATTTGACTTTATCAACCAAACTAGAATGTTAAAGTTAGTGCTTCGAGATAAAGCACTTGGACACAGCAAACCCGATCCCTAGCGTTTTCAAAACAAGAACTGCCAAAGAAGTAATGCGACAACCCGAAAAATAGGCTAAGGTTACTACTGTCCACTAAACCAAAAGGTTCACTTATCTTCACATTATAGGATGCGATCCCTTAAAATGCTCATGAGTAATGTCCACCTCCTTTTCGGTGTTCAGTGGCATTTAAATAGGAAGAAGTTGGTCAGTCGGCTTTCCATATACAACCAGTCAAATTTAGCCGAATAAAGAGCGTGCACTTTTGCATATAATGCATCAAAGTTCTGAGCTTTTATACAAGTTCATCATTCTTTATAATATCATCATGACGACTTCATATGACTTCCAGCATATAGAAAGAAAGACCATATATTATCATCTAGATAACAGCTCGAGAGTTGAAACCTTCAATAACACATTCGTAAAAATGGGATATCAGCAGTATTTCAGCCCGTATATCACATCTTATTAAATGAATTGAGGATAGGTACCACAGAGAGAGTACTTACATTCTTGGATCGAGTATGTGTACTTCAATGAGTCACGCCAGGGAGAGATTCTCACTCCAACAAGGCAAAAGATACCAATAATTTTGGAGGTTGAGAGTCAAAAAGTATCCCTGCTCTGCCACAATTCAACCACTCATTCTCATTTAATGGAAAAATTCACTAAGTACATCCGCTAAAGTGGTGATATGGTGTTAATCTATCCATCAGTGGAACAAAACTCCAGTGGCCATGACTATCAGTTATCGCTATAGTATTTTAAAAATGAAAATATTATTCGAATTAAGAAATGTAGGTGTGTGTAGTCACTGGCAAACCTAATCGATAAAAACTGTACTATGATGGTCACGGAGCACAATTAGAATGAGAAAAGACCAAAAATGAAGACGGCAATAGTGGGAAATGGCTGTTACATCCATCAATAACTTCTACCTCTACCTAATCTTAGACTCCTCAGGACAGTATGCTGCAGAAGCTCAGTTAATGTAATATTTTCTATGTACACAGAGAAAACCTAATGAGTAAACATGAAAAGGCAAGCAATGCTGCTGAACATTCAGTTAGCACAAAGAGCTTGTAACCCATATGACGCAACCGTCTACTTACTTATAAATCTGACTGTCTGTCTAATCGGGTAGAAGTGGTAATTTGCTGATGTTGTAAGTGGAGCCATTGGTGCTCCCAAAGTCATCAAACCCATCAACTACCTCGTTGTCTGTAGAATCTCCGTCTTCGTAGCTTCCACTGTCATATGGAAGGATACGCAGAAGTATATCCGGCTCTTTACCTACTCTTTCCGATTGTAGTTGGTATTTTCTTATGAGGTCTAGCTGAAGAGACATTATGGAAGATGATCTTGGAAGTAACTCCACAGGTTCTCCTTTTGGAATGACGACCTGTTCAATTGCCACTCTTGCCTCCTGGAACAGCAATCCATGAAGAAAATAAAACGACTGTTCAGGTGCCATCCTACAACTTTCTAAGCCCCAACAATGACCAAAAGATTAACAAATTCAATTTCATTCCAGGCCTCGTGCAATAGTGCACTCCGTATTTTTCCTTGAATGCCTGATAATAACAGAAGAGCTGCCCTCTGAGCATGGAAATTCCTGGAGTTTTGGGTGGAAATGGTTTCTGTTTTTCTATGCTCTTCGGAATTCCAGAACCTATATACCCCATTAATGTCCCATTCCCCGCAGCTCAGATATTACAATGATGTCATATATTATGATAGATCTGCACGCCCTTGAGGAATGAAGCATTTTTTTTATATCAAAAACATGATGTAGGATTTTGATAATAATATACCTCAATCATAAAGAGCGCGCAGATCAATTAACAGGCATGACATCATAAGATCGATCCCATTTTTTATTCTACGCTCTTCTAGTTAAAGTTGTTTAAAAGTAGACTGAAATGAGAATAAATAGTTACCTCTAGGGCGTCAGTTTTCTCCAACAACTTCGATTTGTCCTCTACTTCAGTATCCTCTGACCCATCACGATCCCTCAATAATGCCCTCACAGCGTTTGTTATTTGAACCAGTGAACTTGTCTGGTAGGAACAAAAACGAAATTCAGGGATTAAAATTGAACTGTGAAGAATTCCTGTCAAATAAAGAAATTGCAGCCAACAACCTTCGTGACATAAATGGGAATTCCATGAGATCTAGCAGCAGCTTGAATTCCCGGATTTTTTTTGAGCTTGGACTGCAATGCAAGTAATGCATGTGCCTGGCTGATGTTATCAGTTAATTGGATAACATCTTCACCCAAATTCAGCTGTTTAATTACTTGGACTATGCTCGCTTCCGGGATCTACAATAACTGCCCACTTTGTAAGCTATGTAGCAAGAGATTTCAAATGGAACATGATTTCTATTTCAACAATATGATCAAATCTGTTGAATAGCAGCAATATTAGCTAGAATTGATCAGCAAATCAAACAGAACATCACCGGATGCCATGATGTCGTTATCGAATTGTGTACAATTTATTATTTGCTAAAGCAAGATGGTTCAAGAGCAACGAGAACACAATATACTTTATTAGAAGAAAAATGACAACTTACAATTCTGCTAACTCGGATATTTTATTTCTAGAAAGAGAAGGTCATCCCTTATATTATAAAAGGAAATTGAGTTTTTCTTTAGAAGAACACTTGTGGATATAGTCAGGCATCTTCCAAGCCTACTCAGCTGAAAAAGGATTGTCCCTAAGAATCCAAGTAATTATGTTAATTGGAAAAAAAAAAGGATTACTAAGCATCTCATGGCGCAACAGTCGATCTTTATGTACAATAGCACCTGAACAGACAGAGAATCACATGACTACTATTGACAAGAGGTTCTCCACGAAGGATGGAATACCCAAGCAATCAGCTTCAAATTTCCAAAGTGAGAGAGGTGAGACCTATTGCATTCATTAACTCAATGAGATGGATTATTTATGTGCCTAAAAGCCACAGCTGCTTACCCCATAATTATACAAGGAAAGACGAGCCCCATCTTCTCTGAAACTCTCCCTGTTTGGAGGCAACTCAGGAGCATAGTCACTATAGCCAGCAGTTTCACCAGCCCTATCTGGAACATGAATAAAGCCAGTATCATCATTATCACTCAGGGAAGAGTAGGCGAAAGGTTCTGTCTCTGCATTTCCTCTCGAATCCTTGGTCCCCATCTTGCGAACTTCAAATTTAGGTAACCGCCCTATGCCAACATCAGAGCAATCACTGAGCAATAATGGCAGATTAGCTAAAAATTCCCATGGATATATAACAATTGGCCACAAGCAACAATTGGAACAAATCCAATTTGATTGGGAAGTTCACCTGACAAAACAGCATCCACTGTTGCCTCTAAGCTACGATGAACTCGCAACTCAGTCTTTGAGACGATCTCAACACCACAACTAAATGTTGAGGGTCCTTTCCTTTCAAGCACAGTCTTTTGGACACCCCTCCGGCTGGCTTCCTCATCCCCTAGAGTGACACTCTATAGAAAACAAACATAGTTTCTGGGCATTAGGAGAAGCAATTCCCAGAGAAGTTCCTGTGGGCGAATGCACATTGTTTTGTGAAGTAAAGTAACAAGTAATAAACATTGGCGAGACACCATCACGCTAAGAAAACCTAAGCAATAGTTATTTCCCTCATTTAGCCAATTAAAAAGCTACATAAATCTAAGTAATCAAGGAGATATTGACCAAAAAAAAAGGAGATATTGACAAATTGTAACTGACATTACAAGTCTCTAACCTGAATTCCTCCGACAAGCATCTCTAGTGCAGGATTCATTATCAAATTCTCTATAGTTACACCATGGGCAGTCGCAACTAGCTGAATCCCACGTTGGGCAATCGTGCTTGCGGCCATTGCTTCAAGCTTTGTGCCAATCTCATCTATTACAATTACTTGTGGCATATGATTTTCCACTGCTTCAATTAACACCTATATAAGAAGAAGAAAGATGTCAATTATCGCAGTAAGGGTCATTCCTATATCTCCATTTGGAACCACACACAGTACTAATGAGTCATAAAAGGAGGAACTAGGTTAAGTTGTAGCTTGCAAGAGCATCTGTTAGGGAAGTTCTAAAATGAAGTAAAAGCAAGTAATCTAACTATTAAATATCAGCTCCCACCTTATGTTGCATGTCAGAGTTGGGAACTTGCATTCGCCGAGCATTGCCTATTCCTTCATGAGGTATGTCACCATCCCCACCAATCTCGTTGGAAGTGTCAACAATCATGACACGTTTTCCATAATCATTCGCAAGCATTCTAGCTATTTCCCTGAAAAGTAAAATCATCGCCACTCTACTTGAATGAGCTCTCTTGTCAACCGAGGACTTTATTATATTGTGGATGAAATTGAAGCAACATTATGCAGCAAGGCTTGACCTAAATGGCACGATTCTTGATCTATAATACAGGCAAACTGACAAAGTAAATTGATAAAGATTTTCCACAAGAATCCCCCACTCATACTTTCCTTCCAATTCATTCTTCCAAAAAAACTCTTTCCACTGACAATTCACCATGAGCATTGAATGCAAAAGTTGATTCATACAGAGCAACAGTCGGTTGCGTTTCCTGAAGTTATCTTAGTAACAATCAGTAGCATTTTCCAAAGTCATCTTACCTGTGCACCAACTAAATGAAAAGTCAATGCAGCAACACTTTGTTCTTTAAATCTAGTCGACTCAAAAAAGACAGCAATAAGCAAGGAAAGTATCTATAATATGACTATTAGCTATTGGAAGGTTCAGATCGACTATTTCAAGCCACAATAAATTTTGCTACATAAGCCTGTCTGCAAGAAGATCAGCTGCATATTCCTCATTTGGAACTTTTAAAGCGAAACACTATGAATCCTAGTTGTGAGAGTAAATCAATGAACTGCGATAAAGACGTTATTCAAAAACCTGATAATGGTAGTTTTCCCCACCCCTGGTGGCCCAATAAGCAACAGAGAATCCCCGGTTTGAACCAAATCCCGCAGCAGAGGAGCGCTTCCTGATATTGCTCGCCCAACACGGCAAGTTAGTCCAATAATTGTTCCCTTCCGATTCCTAATACCACTAATGCGATGTAATGTTCGACTGATGCCTGCTCGATTGTCTACGGCAAAGTCGCCAACCTATCATATGAATCCATTAGTGAGCATCGAGCGCATCATTAGTCCCCTCCGAAATCAATTTAAAGGCAGAGATAAAGCCACTCTAATAAATATCAGTGTATCCAAGTCATAGTGATTGATACCAGACACAACATGCAGGAAACCGAGTGATCGAGAATTCTTGAATGTGATAAAGAAGTCATAAATCAAATTAACCGTGCACGGGGTAACAATCAGTCAAGTAAGCGAATGGTGGGCCAATATTTTCCTATAACCCCTCAGACATTGTTAATTAGATTATGTGAGACAATCTCATTAGTAAAGCTAAGCTTAAACACCCTTCCAATTTTGCCATGTTTATCAGTAATCCAGTTTGCTTATAATTTCTACCGTCCCAGCTCTACTCTGTTTATATCCTCATGAGGATCAACTGGTATCCTTCCATACCGGTTAACATTAATCGATGCCGAATTACCGGGTATAGCGCGGCACGGCAGCTAATCAAGCGGCATATAATCATCTAGTATTATTTTCAGTCAACTAAACCCTAAAAGTTTTATGAAGCCTCACTTGAGACGTGGCGCGCTCGAGATCCTCGTGCGTCACCGGGAGCTCCGACAGCACGAAATCGCCGGACGGGAACCGGGCCAACGGCTTCCGGCCCAAGTCCATGACCACCTCGATCAGCTGACTCCGCTCCGGATGCTCGCCGACCCTCCGCCGCATCTCCTCGGGCAGGAGGGCCAAGAGGCGGCCCAGCTCGACGTCGAAGTCATCCTCCGGCGAGCCCGGGCTCGGGGAGCCCGCGGCGGATCTCCCGTGACCGGAAGGTCTCGGGGCGAGGAGGCCGCGGCGGCGGCGGGGGAATGGACGGGGGGAGAAGCGGATGGGAGAGGAGGGCGGCGGAGGCGCGGGTCGGAGCGGGGATGGCCGCGGGGCGAGGTTGACGGGGAGGTGAAGTCGGAGGTGCGGAACTGGAGAACAGCGCATCGGGGTTTTGGCGGGAAATCGGGACGAGGGAGCTTGTTCGGGGCAGTGACCGGGAATGCTGAGACGAAGCGAAGCTCGCGCGTCGCTCTGAGTCGTGCCCACTCTTCCCGGAGAGAAGGAAAGAGCAAACGTGCAAGAAGTGCCGGCTGATTTTTCAGGTTCTGAAGAAATAGTGGAAAAAAAACACACACACACATATATATTAGGGAAAAAACCACCAAAAACCCCAAACTTTTTCACTTGTGACACATTTACCCCGAACTTTTTTTTGTGACACCAAAAACCCCAAACTTTGTTATTTGTGACACATTTACCCCGATATACATTGTCCATGGGCATTTTCGTCTTTTTAGCTTTTTCTTTTTCTTTTTACTTTTTTTTTTCTTTCCGGCGAGGGCCGCCCTCGCCGGCGTCGGCGAGGGGCCCTCGCCGGCGTCGGGCGAGGGCCGCCCTCGCCGGATCCGGCGAGGGCCCCCTCGCCGGCGTCGGCGAGCCTCGCCCTCGCTCGCCCGAGGCGAGGCGAGCCCCGCCGACGCCGGCGAGGCTCGCCTCGCCCGGGCGAGCGAGGGCGAGCCTCGCCGGCGTCGGGCGAGCCTCGCCCGGGCTGGGCGAGCGAGGGCGAGGCTCGCCCTCCTCGCCCTCGCTCGCCCGGGCGAGGCGAGGCTCGCCCGACGCCGGCGAGCCTCGCCCTCCCTCACCCTCCCTCGCCGGGCGAGCGAGGGCGAGGCTCGCCCGCGCCGGCGAGGCTCGCCCTCGCTCGCTCGGGCGAGGGCGAGCCTCGCCGGCGTCGGGCGGGGCTCGCCCTCGCCGGGCGAGCGAGGGGCGAGCCTCGCCCGACGCCGGCGAGGGCGGCCCTCGCCGGAAAGAAAAAAAAAAGTAAAAAGAAAAAGAAAAAGCTAAAAAGACGAAAATGTCCATGGACAATGTATATCGGGGTAAATGTGTCACAAATAACAAAGTTTGGGGTTTTTGATGTCACAAAAAAAAGTTCGGGGTAAATGTGTCACAAGTGGGAAAGTTTGGGGTTTTTGGTGGTTTTTTCCCTATATATTATATTATATATGTAACCAAATAAGGGAACAAGACGAATTATTTTTAGGATTAATATCGCGAAAAACCCTAAAGTGATATATCTGTGATAAATTTACTCAAGATTAATTTTTTAACCACCAAAAATCTCAAATTGATATACATGTGATAAATTTAACCTAAACTAATTTTTTTAACCACCACAATCTCCAAATTTGTACATTTGTGACAAATTTACCTTCCGTTAAATTAGATTAATATCACGAAAAATTAAAGCTGGTACACCTGTACCGCAAACTAGTACACCTGTTAACTGTCACGTGTCATTCAACTCAGAAATTTGACAGTAAAATTTAATGAAAACTAAAAGAGGGTAAAATTGTCACAAGTGTACCAATTTAGGATTTTTTGTGGTCAAAAAATTAATTGAGGGTAAATTTGTCACTAGTGTATTAATTTGGGCTTCTTCGTGATATTAACCTTTATTTTTACCATATAAAGATACAGCTAGTACCTTGCATGATAGAAATTTGCCTATGGTATATTGATAATGACATGAGAGTTCAAAGTTATCAATTAATGGGTTGTGACATTTTGCTTAATTAAGTATTATTAACTATGAGATAATATAGTTGAAAGTTGCTTTTTACGATGACAAGTTACCCCTCAAAAAGTTACTTGGTATTAGTATAGATTGGCGTTAAAATTTTCATATGGAGAGTTACTCTCCATAGTAGAAATGTCAACGCTCACAAACAGAAGAGGTTTGATCTTAGGGAAACAACAAAGCAAAGAGCGACAGCACCGTTAACAAGGGAAAACGTCTCCGAGCTTTCTTCAGAGGAATTAACGGCGTTACAGAGAAGGTATGTCATCTTTACTACCGTCCTCTCAATAGTCCCCTGTCCTTTCTCAACAAAAGATAGACCAACTAGTTAGGAGTAAGAAAAGAGCAAAACTAAGTTTTGAATTTGGGGCTGGTGCTACGGGGCGATGAATTGACCCACTCATCTTGAGACCTTTCAGGGCAAAAATACTGGAATTCCTATGAACTTGGAAGTGGAGTCTACTGATTGGGTTGATTTGATGCGGAGGTTCTAGAAAATGATGATTTTGACTGCCCAAAAGTCTAAATTCTCGAGAGGAGAAAAAATGACTACGTGCCCCTTGGTACAAAGCTTTGATTATCAAATTGCTTGGTCGCAAAATTGGGCAATCTCTTCTCATTCGTCGCTTGATGGCATTGTGGAAGTTGAGAGGCGAAATGCCGATCATTGATGTTGGTAATGACTTCTTTGTTGATAAATTTAATTTGGCTGAGAATGGCGAGTCAGTTTTGAATAACGAGCCTCGGATGATTTTTTATTACTACTTAACGATTCAACTTTGGATTTCTCACTTTGATCCAGATACGGTTACTGTGAACAAAGTGGTTGCCTGGGTTCGCATTCCTTGTCTGCCGATGGAGTATTTTGATGAGGGCTTTTTAATGTAGGCAACTAGATTGACCTCTCCTTGAAGGCGGATGCTACAGCACTAGCCGCAGAAAGAGGAAATTTTGCACGACTATGTGTTCAAGTCAATCTCTCTCAGTCCATTGTGCCCGTGCTCACTATTGGTGGTCGTCGATGCAAGATTGTGTATAAAGGCCTCCACTTATCTACTTCCATTGTGGTTGTTATGGACATCTAATTGAAGAGTGTGAAGATAATATTGTTCCGGACGTATTTAAGCATGGAGAAAGGTAAACTAAAAATGAAACCTTTGGTACTCCATAACAAAATGAGAAATTTGGAGATTGGATGGTGGTTCAAAAAACATGAAGGCCTCGAACTCGTTGAGATTATGGGAATAATGCTAAAGGAGATAAAACAGGTTCTTGCTTTGCTGTGTTGCTGCCCCAATCAGTGGATGAATATACAGAAAATGTGGAAGTTGAGGCTCCAGTGCTTTCTCAAGCCTTGAGTATTCATCCTGCTCCTCCTAGAATTGAGCCTCATTTGAGGGATGATGAGTTACTTGACCAATTTGCTCGGGAATATAAAACTCCTAGTCAGTGTCATTCCCAGAATACTGAAATTGGGGTTGCCAGACCAAAAAGGTTGCTTCTTCGTAAAAGGGGAGACGATAATGAAGAAGGAAGGCGTGTAACTGCACCTAAAGCTGTTTCACTGCTTGACTATGAGGTATCTATTATAGTGAAACAGGAAAGGGTTGGACATCATAATGGAACTTTGCTGTCTAATGGTTACAATCAACTTAAACCTCATGACCACATATTGATTAAAGATCGTGGGGATCCTCGGGGAGGAGAGGGCGATGGCGTGCTGGGCCGACGGAGGGGGCAGTGAGGTCGTCCTTGGCGGCAGGGCTTTTGCTTTTATGATCAAAAGCGAGTCTCTTTATTTTACTTTGCCAAACGCTAGTTGCTTACACCTCCAAACCTTTCCCAAACACACGCTGAGTCCTTAGCTGGGCTATCACTTCTTGACCTTCCTAGTTAGAAAGGTGACCAGGCCATGTTAGGAACATGCAGGTTTTCTTTTTAAATTGCAGTGCTGATAGGATTTTCGAAGTGTTATTGATTTGTTCTAGTATTATAAATTAATGACGCAAGTATTTCTCCGCAATTACCCAATTGCCAATTAATTCTTTATTGGACAGCAAGCAAGGAATTTGACTGGGATCATTGTTTGTCGTTTGGGCAAAAGCGATAGTTCTCGATGATTCAAATATCTAGTGGAAAAGTACTCCCACTAATCATAAGTTGGAGAGCAAGACCACAAGAAATTCAACCTGCATTCCAAAGGAGGACCATTTAACAATCATTAATATTGATGCATATGGAGATTAACTATATAATGACCCATATGCCCCATCTAATATAGCAGTGGAACCTTTTTTCTTTATGAAACTCAAGCCTTTTCTATTAAAAACAACTATTTACCGCCAACGTCAAGCTAGCCTACAATCAATCATCGAAATGATGTAAAGACTTGCCGAGGCACACTGTCGAATTGGCATTTATTCTAATAAAGAGGATGCGAGGTGCAACTTCTTTCTATAATAAGAAGTAGCCACATGCAAAGTACGCGACGTAAACCGTAAAGCCCTCCAATCCAGTTTGCCCTTCACGAGCGGAACATCCCAAACTGGGTTCAGTGATGGTGCGGATCAGGCCCCCCAGGCGCGGCCCGCTTCGAGTCGATATGCCACTCCATCTCCTCCTCCTTTTCCATGTAGCCCTTAAGACCTGTTTCGCATTCTCCATCATTGTACTGCCTCCATCTTTTGACAATGCCTTGTGCGTTCTCGCTTCATTAGACGAGGACACCAGTAGAAAGATCACAAGGCAGAGCCAGAATCTCTGTGACGCCATTTAGCGTAACTCAGTTTCTTCTCAGATTAACTTGGTGAAGTGATGCACCAAGAATCGGGTGGGGTATATATATGGTCATTTTCCTGATACTTTATTCGAGTGGAATGGGTGCATCCCCTTCAAACAAATAAAGGGTTGGCACGTTACCAGTCAGTGCATGTTTATTTCCAGTGCAATCAAATAGAAAGAAAGGGATTCAATGAGAAAGCACTTAGAGTCCGTTTGTTTCGCGGAAAATATTTTTCAGAAAAACACTTTCTCATTTTCCGGAGTTTGGTTTGTTTAGAAAAATGAGTGAATAGAATATGTTTTCCTACCAAAGCTTAAATTTAGGAAAACGATTTCCTCTTTGAAAGAATTGGAAAACGTTTTTCGAAATATGACTAGCTATCGGTACTTGGACCCGAAACTATACGCTTAGGCACGGAAATCCCAATGTTGGTTCTCGGGTCCTGACATTCAGGACCACGTCTCGTCAGCTGGGCTCGGGACCTCGGTGTCCTAGACTCGGGCCCTTGGCACCCATGCCCGAGTCCATCAAGGCCAAGTAAGAACCCTTGTTGCTCGTACCCGATACTCCGACACCCAAACTCTAGTCTATAAAGGCCGTGCTCGAGCTCTAGTCCCGACCCTCTAGCCCGGGTCCACTAAGGCAGTGCGGGGTTCCTCGACGCTCGGACTCAGATTCTTAGTTAATGGAACAATTGCTGTTATAAAAATTATGTTTTAAAAAAATTCG